AAACTGTGTTATTTACAATCTTTCAGTTTGTAAGTCACGTCACATGTGAATGTGTAATTTCATTTTTTTCTTCTATGATACCATTGTGATACTTTACTAAACTGTGTTATTTACAATCTTTCAGTTTGTAAGTCACGTCACATGTGAATGTGTAATTTTATTCTTTTCTTTTATGATACCATTGTGATGATACTTTACTAAACTGTGTTATTCACAATATTTCAGAGAGTAAGTCACATCACATGTGAATATGTAAATTAATTTTTTTCTTCTATGATACCATTGTGATACTTTACTAAACTGTACTGTGTTATTCACAATATTTCAGAGAGTAAGTCACATCACGTGTAAATGTGTAATTTTATTCTTTTCTTCTATGATACCATTGTGATACTTTACTAAACTGTGTTATTCACAATATTTCAGAGAGTAAGTCACATCACATGTGAATATGTAAATTTATTCTTTTCTTCTATGATACCATTGTGATACTTTACTAAACTGTGTTATTCACAATATTTCAGAGAGTAAGTCATGTCACATGTGAATATGTAAATTTATTCTTTTCTTCTATGATACCATTGTGATACTTTACTAAACTGTGTTATTCACAATATTTCAGAGAGTAAGTCATGTCACAAGTGAATGTGTAAATTTATTCTTTTCTTCTATGATACCATTATGATACTTTACTAAACTGTGTTATTCACAATATTTCAGGAAGTAAGTCACGTGACATGTGAATATGTAAATTTATTCTTTTCTTCTATGATACCATTGTGATACTTTACTAAACTGTGTTATTCACAATATTTCAGAGAGTAAGTCATGTCACATGTGAATGTGTAATTTTATTCTTTTCTTCTATGATACCATTGTGATACTTTACTAAACTGTGTTATTCACAATCTTTCAGTCAGTAAGTCAGGTCACATGTGAATGTGTAATTTTATTCTTTTCTTCTATGATACCATTGTGATACTTTACTAAACTGTGTTATTCACAATCTTTCAGTCAGTAAGTCATGTCACATGTGAATATGTAAATTTATTCTTTTCTTCTATGATACCATTGTGATACTTTACTAAACTGTGTTATTCACAATATTTCAGAGAGTAAGTCATGTCACAAGTGAATGTGTAAATTTATTCTTTTCTTCTATGATACCATTATGATACTTTACTAAACTGTGTTATTCACAATATTTCAGGAAGTAAGTCACGTGACATGTGAATATGTAAATTTATTCTTTTCTTCTATGATACCATTGTGATACTTTACTAAACTGTGTTATTCACAATCTTTCAGGAAGTAAGTCACATCACGTGTAAATGTGTAATTTTATTCTTTTCTTCTATGATACCATTGTGATACTTTACTAAACTGTGTTATTTACAATCTTTCAGTCAGTAAGTCAGGTCACATGTGAATGTGTAATTTTATTCTTTTCTTCTATGATACCATTGTGATACTTTACTAAACTGTGTTATTCACAATATTTCAGGAAGTAAGTCACGTCACATGTGAATATGTAAATTTATTCTTTTCTTCTATGATACCATTGTGATACTTTACTAAACTGTGTTATTCACAATCTTTCAGGAAGTAAGTCACATCACGTGTAAATGTGTAATTTTATTCTTTTCTTCTATGATACCATTGTGATACTTTACTAAACTGTGTTATTTACAATCTTTCAGGCAGTAAGTCAGGTCACATGTGAATGTGTAATTTTATTCTTTTCTTCTATGATACCATTGTGATACTTTACTAAACTGTGTTATTTACAATCTTTCAGGACGTAAGTCATGTCACATGTGAATGTGTAATTTTATTCTTTTCTTCTATGATACCATTGTGATACTTTACTAAACTGTGTTATTCACAATCTTTCAGCCAGTAAGTCAAGTCACATGTGAATGTGTAATTTTATTCTTTTCTTCTATGATACCATTGTGATACTTTACTAAACTGTGTTATTTACAATCTTTCAGGTCGTAAGTCATGTCACATGTGAATGTGTAATTTTATCCTTTTCTTCTATGATACCATTGTGATACTTTACTAAACTGTGTTATTTACAATCTTTCAGGACGTAAGTCAGGTCACATGTGAATGTGTAATTTTATTCTTTTCTTCTATGATACCATTGTGATACTTTACTAAACTGTGTTATTCACAATCTTTCAGCCAGTAAGTCAAGTCACATGTGAATGTGTAATTTTATTCTTTTCTTCTATGATACCATTGTGATACTTTACTAAACTGTGTTATTTACAATCTTTCAGGTCGTAAGTCATGTCACATGTGAATGTGTAATTTTATCCTTTTCTTCTATGATACCATTGTGATACTTTACTAAACTGTGTTATTTACAATCTTTCAGGACGTAAGTCACGTCACATGTGAATGTGTAATTTTATTCTTTCCTTCTATGATACCATTGTGATACTTTACTAAACTGTGTTATTCACAATCTTTCAGAATGTAAGTCATGTCACATATAAATGTATAATTTTATTTTTTTCTTCTATGATACCATTGTGACACTTTACTAAACTGTGTTATTCACAATCTTTCAGCCAGTAAGTCACGTCACATGTGAATGTGTAATTTATTCTTTCTTTTATGATACCATTGCGATGTGTTTTTTACCCAAAAATCCTGATGTCATAATTTTTTAGGATACAAGTAATGTACTGTATATGTTGACTGCTGACAACATTTATGTACATGTACCTATAGGTGCTTATGAGAGAGCTCTCAAAGAACAAGGAAGTGCTGATGTAGCGTATGCTCGTCTTATGTTACTGGGATCAGCTGGTACTGGCAAGACTTCTCTCAAGCGTTCATTAATGGAAGAACCTTTCAATCCTCATACTACAAGCACCATTGTATCTGATGTATCCTCTGTACGACCATTTGGACACAAGTGGCAAACAATGAGAGACAAGAAATGGAGAAAAGTCACAGAAGAAGATGAACTTGAAGAAATTGCTCGTTTGTTTGAATCCTTTCATTCTAAATCATCCTCACACCATGCTTCTGTATTGAGTGCAGAATATTCTCATAATGAATCAGATGCATTAGTTTCTACTAGTTCAATAGCTTCTGATTTGAATGTAGAGATTCGTATCAAATCAATACTTGAAAGAGCTTGTTTTGCTTATCGGACAACAAAACCACTTGTTCAAGTGAGTCATATTTACTTATGTTCAGCATTATGATATAAGTAATATATCAATTTTTAGCCATTTCTTCATATATGGGATTGTGGTGGTCAGCCAGTGTTCCTTGAGATTCTCCCAGCCTTCCTCACTCCTCGTACAATGTTTCTCCTCCTGTTTGATGCTTCAAAGGATTTCACAGAAAGATGGCAGTCACGTCAGAATACTACTGATGGTAAAGTGCTGTTTGGTGAGGTTGTGAATGAAAGCACAAGTGATCTAATGGTAAAATGGATGTCTACAATACACAGTTACCTTGTGAAGCACAAAAAAGATGATACTTCTTCTCCTAGTCCTAGTCTCTATTGTATTGGTACTCGTGGTGACAAGCTAAAGGGAAGAAAGAAAGAACAAGTAAAGAAGCAAATAAAGTCCCTCTACAAGGAAAAAGAGTTCTCAGATCTTATTAAAGATGTACTGATCATTGATAATACAACTTCAGGTAAAGGAGGAAGAGAAGATCCAAGTATTTCAGAATTACGTGGAGCCATTGATACTTTTATCAATACATTAGTTGTTCCAACCCCTGTCAATTGGGTTCTCTTCCGCAAAGTTTTTCAAGAGCTAGAGCTGAATATCATTAGTGTATCTGATGCCATTGCCATTGGAGAAGCATGTCATATACCAGCACGTGATGTTCCTAAAGTATTGAAATTCTATCATGAGCTGGGAGCTGTGCTATACTATCCTCAAATAAAAGGTCTGAAAAATAAAGTCATTCTGAGTCCAAAATGGTTTGTTGATATTATTGGGAAAGCATTTCCACTGGATAATGGGTGGAGTGAAACATATAGATGGTATTTGTTACAAAATGATGGTATTCTTATTCAACCACTTTATAAAGAGATATGGCAGTCAAGTGATATTGATCCAGAAGAAATAATTGAACTTTTAGTTCATTTTCGTCTTGCAGCTCAAGTTCAAACTGAGCTTGATGATGCTAAACATTATTTTCTTCCAGCAGTGCTACCAGGATACACAGGTGATCCTAATGAAGTACAACCTGGTTATAAGCTAAGAGCCTCACCTGTACACATTACATTCACCACTGGCCATGGGTATGTACCTCCTGGCTTCTTCACTCGTTTAGCAACTGCTGTTGCTACTGATGATGATATTAAGCTCAATTTTGATAATGTTTATTCAGCACCTACTGCTGGTTCTTGAT